GAGGGGCGGAGAGAGTTCAGGATGGAGCCTAAAGGTGTCTGAGCCCCACTGTGACCCCACACCTCACCCAGAGCCTGACACATAGTAGCAGATCAGAACAGAAGGCAAAGGGTAAAGGAGGGACAGGCACAGTCCTGCACGCCTGTAATCCCAGCAGTTGGAGCTGAGGCAGGAGGACTGCACCTGAGTCCAGTCTGAGCTACACAGCAGCTTAGTGAAACCCTGTGTCAAAATAAAAAATAAGAAGGGCTGGGGATGTAGCTCAGTGCAAAGGTCTTGGGTTCAATTCCAAGTAGTGGAAAAGAAAGAAAGGAAGAAAGGAAGAAAAAGAAAGAAAGAGAGAGAGAGAGGGAAGGAAGGAAGGAAGGAGAGAGAAGGAAAGAGAAAGAGAGAGAGAAAGATAGATAGATGAAGGGCTGGGGAGGTACACCTCCCGGGAGACAGACCCCAAGTGACCCCTGACAGCCCAGCCAGCCCCTGCCTTTGTCCCAGACTGAGGGGACTGGTGATGGGTGAGGCAAACTATCTGGCTTTCCTGTGGCATGGGGGCCTCAGGATGCCCATGAACTGTGCCCTCCTCATCTGTGCACCAACAGCCTATACTTTGGTGACCCCCTCTACTGCCCATGGCCAGTCAGGTAACACCTGCCCCTTTCATCTTGCTGTGCGCTGCCTCATCACCCACAGTAGTCCAGAGGCACTGTGTTCCAGAGAAGGGGCGTGGGGTCAAATAGGGTAGGAATTGTGCCTAGGGTGCCCATCCAGTGCGCTTCCGCTTCTGTCTGTGGGGTTCTGGACTGACCCAGGTCATTCTCAGCTCAGAGACCCTGCCCCCAACCCTTCCACACCCCCTCCCCATTTTCTGGGAGCTGCACTCCAGCTCTCTGTATGGAGAGACTTATTGTAGGATCACCCATTCTGCAGATGAGGGAAGCTGACGCAGGAGGATTGCGAGTTTGAGCCCCATCTGGGCAGCTTAGCAATACTTTATCCAAAGGTAAAAAAAACACAAAGGGCTGAGGATGTAGCTTAGTGTGAAGGCCCTGAGTTGAATCCTTGGGGGGGAGGGGGGGTGTCCCAGAGCCTGGATCTTTTCAAGCCTCTGCCTTGACCACCACTCTTTTGGTTCTGTCCAATAGCTTTTGCCATGGGATCTAGTTTCTTACAGCCACGACCCGTGGGTCCTTTGAAGGGGTCCCCAGTTACAATCCTGAGAGTCTCAAAAAGAAGGCTGGAGAAAATGAACAAAGATGACATGGCAGCATGTGTCCACCAGGTGGCGCTGTCCGCCTCTGATCAGAGCCCCTCGCTAGCCATTTCGTTCCCGACCGTCCTCCGCTAATCCCAAAGAGCAGACCACAAAACAAGGACTAAAACTATTATATACATGTACATAGCAGGCATTTAATAAGTATCTGTTGAATGAATGCACGTCAACTCTGTGAGGCAGACAAATGAAACAGTCGTATAGACTGAGAAGCGGAGGCTGGGTGTGAACAATATGTAGTAACCATTGGCCTCTCGGCTAATAAGGCCCTCTGTGCTGGACCCTGTGCTTAGCATATTTTAGTTTTCATCGATTTATCCACTAGGGGCCATGAAGCACATGCTTTATTCCCTCTTTGCGGGACGTGACCCACTCTGCCTGCACCCTGGCGACCCAGGATCAAGGCCACCTGATGGTCCAGCGTCAGCTCCCCCGTAACGGCCCCAGGTACGGTCTCCGGTCGCCAGCACGGCCTTAGCACCAGGTATCGGGTGACCACCAGGGGGAGGCTTCGGCCTTTGGACAGCCGTGAGCCAATGTGGAGGCGGAGGAGGGTGACAGTGAGACTGTCCCTACCTGGCTGGGTCCCCCTGAGGACCACATGAGACAGTGCATGGAAGGTCCGTGGCCCCTGAAGGGGCTTGGCACCCTCTCTCTGCCCCTCACGCTGCGGCACCACGGCCCCAGTCAGCAGTGATACGGCAAGGATTGCCGAGCTGCTGTGCTGGGGCAAGGATCTGAGCAGCTATGAGCTCTGCTGTCTCCTGAGCTTAGACAGTGACACCTGGGCCATGGCAGGTGCTCACTAGGCAGCCCTGGCTGAGGGACGGCTGGCGGCCTGGAGCACATGGCACCTGTGTGGCTGGGCCCTGGGACGTGCTGGCCCTCTGTGTCCCATCCCTGGTCCCCAGGAGGCTGGGCGCACGCTATGGCTTCTATCATTTCCACTCTATGTGAGGATTCCAGACGCGGTGGCCCAGGGGTGGCCGTGCCAGATGACAGGATGCCCTTTAGTGCTCCTGTCATCCTGTATTTCCCTCTTCTCCTGTTCCTGTGTCTTCCCCCACATCTGCCAAAGTTAGCATTCGATGGCCACAATATCCAGTGAACACCCCAGAGAAATCCCAAAACCTAACATCTGTGCCAGCTTAGGCAGCTAAGCCTGTGCTGGAGGCAGATCTTGTCGCAGCTTCTGACAAAGACACGACTGAGACACCATTAGCGAGGGCCTAGGGCCCTTCTGCTGGGCCTTGGCTGTGCTCCTGGTATGGACTTAGGCTTGGCTGGGAAGCTCTGGAGCTTCTGAAGCCTTTGTATTGTGCAGGCAGGCAGCCAGAGCGGGACTTAGAAACAACTCTGATGAGAAGAGCCGCCTGGTCAGGGAGAGTGCTAGAGGCAGGGACATATCCCAGCAGACCAGCAGAGGCACCTGGGCCATGTCACCTGGAGCATTGGAATGGGTCTCACATCCAAAAGGGACATCAGCAGGTGGAGAACATCTGCTGGGGACAGGGCTCAGCTGGACCTACATTCCCCTCAGACCATCCGAGATCCAGATTGCATCTTATTACCACCACAGCTCTGGTGCCCCACAAGACACATAGTAGATGCTCAATAAAGATGCAACAAATATGTGACTCCAAGTACAGCCTTCCTTAGCAATAGTGTTTACTGGCAAAATTAAAATATTTGTACTTCAGGCCCCCTTATAACATAGGAGAGAATACTGCTTTGTTAAATAATGACGACTCATGGCAGGAGAGAGTGGTCAATGAAAAATATAGTAGCTGAATTAAAATTTTGGTATTGGAGGCAATGAATAGTAGACCTGAAAGTATAGAAATCAAATGCAAGATACGAAGGACTAGATGGGAAAACATCCCCAGGATGCAAAGGGAAAGGATATAAGGACACAGTGTCTCTGAGAACATGCAAGGACAAGGGGGCCACAGGAGTCTCCAAGCGCTCCAGCAGGTGCCTTCCCCTGTAATAAAGAGATCAGAAGCAATAGCCAAAGTTACAAAGAAGGAAAAACTTTTCTTTTGTGGTGCTAGGGACTGAACTGCACATGCTGGGCAAACACTTTGCCACTGAGCTACATCTTCAGCCCTGAACTATTCACTTGGAAAAAGGAAAAAAAAAAGACCCAGGAAAGTTAAAAATGTGCAAATCTGATGGTGGTTCTCCCCAACTTCCTCCAGTGCTTATAAATAAGATGATGATATCTAGAGCTCCCTGGGTAAAGAGAGGAGGCTTCCAGGGCCCTGGGCTTAAGGGCCCTGGGAGATGGTCATGAGAATCTATTGCAGCACTGCTTGCAAAAGTGAAAAATGGGAGCATCCTACATGTTAGCCAGAAGAGGAGCGAGAAGCTATAGTGGGTTGTTCCTTCAGGGCAGTGTTACACAGTGCTTTAAACGCTGAGAGGAAAAGCCAATGCAAAATGATGAGAACCAGAGAACAGGATGTCATATATTTAAATCTGAAAGTGGTACATCACTATAGATGTCTGTAGAAGAAAGAGAAGCACAAAACTAAGGACTAGAAGGAAAGATATAAAATTCATGAGGCTGAAGTGAAAAAGAAGAATGGGACCTGATGAGAATTGACTTTGACAATTAATTTACCTTTACAATTTTCTTCAAAAATTGGAAATGGACATGTTCAGCTGTGAATGTTTGTCCCTGCAGGGTATCCTTAGATGAGAATTTCTGTCATGCTCAGTAGCTTTCTATACTTTTTGGGGGTTTTTTCTTGCAAATTTTCTTTTTGTGGTAAAATATATGAATATAAATTTAATCATTTTAATCATTTTTAGGTGTATGAACCAGTGGCATTAAGTACAATCAAAATGGGGTGAAACCATCATCATTTTTAGAACTTTTTCATCATCCTCAATAGAAGCTCTTTTGCTCCCCACCTCCAACTCCCGTAACCACTATGCTATGAATTTGACTATATACCTCTGATAAATTCAATTGTACAATGGTTGACCTTTTGTATCTAGTCTGTTTCAATTAGCATAATATTTTCAAGGTTCATCCACATTGTGGCATGTATTAAAATTTCATTATTTTTAAGACTGAATATTATTTCATTGTATGGCTAAACCACATTGTGTTTATTCATTTACTCACTGATAGTCACCTAGGTTGCTTCTAGATTTCAGGTATGTGAATAGTGCTACTATAGATATTGGGGTACAAGTATCTATTTGACTCCCTTCTTTCAACTCTTCTGGGCACAAACCCAGAAGGGGAATTGCCGGATCATGTGCTATCCCTATGTTTAGCTTTTTGAAGAACTGCCGAATTATTTTTCACAGTGAATCTACCATTGTACTTCTCACTAGCAATGCACAGAGTTCTAATTTCTCCACATCTTCAACAACCCTTGTTATTTGGGATAATAGCTATCCTAAAATGCATGAAATCTTGTCTGACAGTTTTGATTTGCCTTCTAATCACTAGTGATACTGAGAAGCTTTTCCTGCCTCATTGGACATTTGTATATCTTCTTTTTTTGATTTGAGTCATTTGCCCACTTTTGAATCAGGTTGTTTTGTTGTTGTTATTGGTATTATTGAGTTATAGGAATTCTTTATATATTCTGGATATTAATTCCTCATCTGAGATATTATTTGCAAATATTTATTTTTTCCTTTGAGTAGATTGTCTTTTCATTCATTTGGAATTTGTCATTTTTGTTTTGTTTTGTTTTTTTCCGGTACCAAGGATCGAACTCAGGACCTTGCACTTGGAAGGTAGGTGCGACACCACTGAGATAAATTCCTGGCCCTGAAGTTTGTCATTTTGATAAAGACCATATCGTCTGTTTTTTTCTTTTGTTGCCTGTGCGTTTGGTGCCATATTCAAGAAACCAAATCCAATGTCATAAAGCTTTCCCTGTTGTCTTAGAGTTTCATAGATTAAGCTTTTACATTAAGATTGTTGAGCCATTTTGAGTTAATTTTTGTACATGGCATAAGGTAAGGGTTTAACTTCATTCTTTTGCATATGGATATCCAACTTTTCCAACACCATTTGTTGGAAAGAGTGTCCTTTCTTCATGGAGTGGTTTTGGTACCCTTGTGGAAAATCAATGGGCCACATACCAAGGTTTTATCACTGGGTTTTCTATTGAATCACATGTCCTTCTTTATGCTGGTACCACACCATTTAGATTATTATAGGCTTATATTAAGTTTTGATATTGGAAAGTGTGAGTTCTTCAAACTTGTTCTTCTTTTTCAAATTCCACTGGTCACTTGGGTTCCCTTTTAGGTACTCTTTAACCTGCCAAAAGACAGGGGTGGAGCTGCTGTGCAGACTCGGGGCTCAATCTATAGAAAGCCAAATTTTAAGAAGGAAATTCCTAAGTAGATATGTCCTGGTGGATGTCTTCAGCACCAAAGATAAAGAATTCAAGCAGAAAAAAATAAAAGTTATCCACAAATTAACAAAATCAGGGTGGTCTCAAACTAGATGGCTCAATATTAGAAGTTTCAGTTATGTTGTATTAACTGGTCAAATTCAATACTGAGTTCTAGAAGAAAAATTCTTTCTTCATGAAGAACAGAAAACAAGGGCAAACAATGACCTCCAACCCTTCCCCTGGGCTCCGCCTCTGAAGCCTTCGACATTTCCCAATTGTGTCTTCTAGAAACAAAGCCTTTTACTCACGTACTTTTGGGGGCATTCACAATCCAAACTATAGCCATAGTCATAAACGTTTGTGTGCCACACTGTGCTACATAGTTAAATAAGCCTAGCGAAAACTTTTAAAAATATAAATAGAACTTTTTGTTTTTGGTACCGGGGATCAAACTTGGGTCCTTGCACTTGCCCAGCAGGCGGTGGAACCACTGAGCTAAATCCCTGGTCCATAAATAGAACTTTTAAGAAAAAAACTTTTAAAAAAGAAAAGAAAAGCACAATTATAGTGGGTGACTACATAGAAGGCTTTCAGAATTTGACACTTTAGTAAACAAAGAGTAGATAAGGAAATGGAGGATTTGAATAATTAAAATTAAAGATCATATAAAAATAAATAAATAAATAAATAAATAATAGTTTATTTTGTTCCATACAGAACTGTGAAAAACTAACAGAAGTTTACTGTGTACTTGGTCACAAAGATAACCTAAATTAATATAAGAATATATATATAAAAAAGTAGAGATTTTCTAGGCTACACTCTACCTTAGTTCATTGAAATGACTATTCAATAATGAAAAGACTATTTTTAAAAGGTTATAACTAACTGAAAAGATAATAAACACCTTTCAAATAGCCAATGTATCAGAGAGGAAATCTAAACTGAAATTGAAATTATTAACAAAAGAGGAATGGTTCCATAAAATTTAGAAGATATATTTAAAACTATTTTTCTTTTGTTTCAGCCTTATGCATGTGAGGTAAATCCTCTACCACTGAAAAAAATTATAAACGACATGATGTGGAGCTCTGAAGAAACTAGAGAAATGGATAATTTTCTAGAAGAGTATAAATTAACAAAACTAATCCGAAATGAAAAAGTAAACTTGAACAGGCCCATGACTGTATGTAAGAGTAATGTGTGATTAAAAATCTATGACTGGGCCGGGGATTTAGCTGTGGTTTCACTGCCTGCTGTGCAAGCACAAGGACCCGAGTTCGATTCCCGGTACCAAAAAAAAAAAAAAAATCTATGACTTTGCTGGGAGCAGTGACATACATTTGTAATTCCAGCCAATTGGAAGGCTCAGGCAAGAAGGGCACAAATTCAAGGCCAGCCTGGGCAACTTACCAAGACTCTGTCTCAAGATTGTAAAAATGAAATAAAAATGGCTGGGCATGTAGCTCAGCAGCACCGTGCTTGCCTAGCATATGTGACGTTCTGGGTTCAATCCCTAGTACTGCAAGCAAACAAACAAGACACTCTGACTTAGTTAACTCGGTAATAAAAAGACAACCCAGGGCTGGGGATTTAGCTCAGTGGTTACGCTCTCTGCCTTGCAAGCCTAAGGTCCGGAGTTCAATCCCCAGTACCAAAAAAAAAAAAAAAAAGACAACCCAAACTGAAAAATGGACAAAGAATCTGAACAGACATTTCTCCAAGGAAGATGTATAAATACTCCATAATCATGTGAAAAGATAGTTGATATCATTGGTTACTAATGAAATGCCAGTAAGAAGCATGATGAAGATGGCATTTCATACTCAATAGGGTAAGAAGAATGAAAAAAATCGATAATAATGAGTGCTGGCAAGCACACAAAGAAACTGAAACCTTCAAACATTGCTGTGGACACAGAAGATGGCACAGTCACTTTGGAAAACAGTCTAGCAGTTCCTCACATGATTAAACTTAGAGTTATCATGAGGCCTGGCCATTGTGTTCCTAGGTATACAATCAAGAGTTATGAAAACATATGTCCACACAAAAATTTAAACCTGAGTATTTATGATAGCATTATTCATAATACCTGAAAAGTGGAAACAACCCATCAATGAACGAATGGTTAAATAAAATGTAATATATCCACACAATGGAATATTATTTGGCCATAAAAAGTAATGAAATTCTGAAACATGCCCTAACATAGATGAACCTTTAAAACATTGTACTAAATGAAAGAAGCCAGTCCCCAAAGACCACCTAGTTATGTGATTTGATTCACATGAAATGTTCAGAATAGGAAAGTCCATTAATAAAGAGTAAATGGTGGCCACTTAGGACTTGGGGTAGAGGTAGAGGAGTTGGGAGGTAGACAGCTAAAGGGTAAGGGCCTTCTTCTCCTTTTTTTGGTACCTGGGATTGAACTTGGGACCTTGCACTTTGGAGGCAGGTGGCATCACCACTGAGCTAAATCCCTGGCAAGGGGGCTTCTTTTTTGAGTTGATGAAAATGTTTTAAGTAGACCAATTATAGCTATATTTATCTATGAATGGGCTAAAATCATTGCATTGTACTCTTCATTGGGTAGATTGTGATACATGAATTATATCAATAAAACTATTAGAAAACTATGATAAAGGTATCCATGACTTAGTTGCTTACAGTTGACAGAATTGACATGGGAATAGTAGCTGCTGTGACTTCCTCCTATCTTAGTTACTTTCTCATTGTTGGGACACAACACCAGACACTTACAAATTAAAGGAAGACAGGTTTATTTTGGCTCATAGTTTGTGGAGGTTTCAGTCCATAGTCAGCTGGCTCCAAGGCAGGGCAGCATAGGACTGGGGCATTGCAGAGAAGGTTTAGTTATGGCATGGTGGCAGGAAGCAGAGGGATCAAAGGAGGAGGAGGAGGAAGAAAGACCCTTCCAGGCCACACCTCCAGTGACCCTTCTACCAGGTTTCACCTCTCAACATCACATTTAGCTATAAACTCATCAATGGGCTAATCCACTGGTGAGTATTGCATATCCATGATCCAGTCACCTCCCAAAAGCCCTACCTATGAGCACATGAGGCTTTGGGGGACATCTAGATATAATCCATAACAGCTCCTTATATTTTAGGGACTTAACACAATAGAAATTTATCTCTTACTCATGGAGAGGCCAAGGCAGTTGGGCCTCACTGATGGGCACCTGCTTCCCGATGGTAATTCCAGGATCCATGTTGTTTCCATCTTGTATCTTCATCATCTTTCCCAGGTAGCTGTCCAGTTCATTGCAGAAGTTCACTGTAGAAGAATGAAGTGCAGAAGGATGGGAAATCAGAGGTTCTTGTGACCTATGCCTGGAAGGGCTCTGCTTCTGTCCCATTCCATCAGCTATAATACAGCACATAGCCTAACAAGTGAGTCTCAGAAGGATATTCTTGGATGGTTCCAGGAAGAAGAAATGTTGACTTCTAACCAAGTTTTAAAGAATAAAAACTTCTGGCGGAGCTGCCTAGAGCCATCAGGCTGCACCACCCCTTATGGGCCTCCCAGCCAGGGGTGCAACAGTGAGGAGTGGAGCCGCGAGGGCACCTGTAGCACCACCACTCCACCCCTCCCTCTGGCCTCCTGGATCCACACCCCAGAGACACAGGGGGTCATAAAGGCCATTGGCCTGAGCTCTAGAAGATAGAGCAGAAGTGAACAACAGAAAGAGGGCCTCTCTCAGGCTCCTTGATGAAAATTGAAGCCCACTGAAAAAGTGAAGATAATCTCTGCAATAAAGGGCACACCAGACCACTGTACTTGGTAAGTTGGAGGGATAGCCTCCTCCCATTGGAACCTGGACAATCTTCAGGGGAAGGGCAGCTGGAAAGGGCAGTAGAACCTTGTAGAGTTCAACCCTGCAGGAAGACTGGGAGCTCAACTTGGGACTTGCAGCCAGAAATCAGCCTGAATCTCAGGGGTCTGCTGCTGGCTTGCCGAGACTAATTGACTTAGATCTGCACACTGCTGTCCATGTTTTCTATTGTGACAGCAGAGACATACCCTGAAGGAGGCCCTTCGTTTTTATTTTTTATTTTAAAAATTATTTTTTTCTGGGCCGGGGATTTCACTCAGTGGTTTCGCTGCCTGCTGTGCAAGCACAAGGACCTGAGTTCGATCCCTGGTACCAAAACCAAAAAAAATTATTTTTGCTCTTATTTTTAATTTTAGTTATTTTTTTCTATTCTTTAAAAAAAATTTCTTCTTTTTCTTTTCTTTCTCTCACTCTCTCGCTCTCCCACATTGTTCTTCATCTCCCTTCTTGTTCTCATTCCTGCCCTAATTCGGATTTCTTCTTTCTTTTTCTTTCTCCCAATTGTCATTAGTTTCAGAGGAAAGTCAATACAGTTTCTAGCTTCCCTATTGCAGATAGATTGTTCTGTTCTTGTCTTTGTTCTTTCATTCTGTCTTTTCCTCTTGTCTTCAACAGTTCCCTAGAGTTTTCATGATCTTCCTGTGTCCTCTGGCCTCACTTCTAACCTTTCCCTATCCTTCTACCTATCTATCCCTCCCTCCCCAAATTCTTCTAAGACCCTTTCCCAAAGGGTAAAGTTGCTATATTGAAGAGTTTATTCACTATAAACATATGTTGGGCTGGTCCTCGATTTTGATTTAATTCACGTTGTTAAAGGTGATACATTAATAACTACCACACATTGTCATTTTCTAAGCTGAACTTTATACTATTGTTGTTGCTGATTGTATCATTTGGGCTAAGGTGTTGTGATCAATCTAATCAGTTATCCTTCTGGTATAATGAAAATGAGATTGCCCCAGAGTCATTAGAGACTCAAACTTTAAGACCAGCTATATCTGGAAGACACCTCTGAGAAGCAATCATTCTATAAGGGTTCTAAATACAAGCAACAAAGATACCTACAATAAGCAATATTGAAGTATCAACCCAGGAACTAAACCAAGGATAGTACCAACAACAAAAATAGAAATGAGAAGACATTTAAGCAAGGCACAATCACAGATTTCCAGCTCACCAAGGTCAAACTCTGGGGGTAACAAGGTGGAAAAGTCTGATAATCAACCACCTGGACACCCTGAACTGATATCATAGGAAGTAACAAAAGAGATGAATGAGGCTCTAGAAAAATTCAAAACAGAAATAATTTCCCAGATAACTACAGAGATGGTGAGCAGAATGAAAGACATGATTAGAGACTCTAGAACAGAAACAGATAAAAAAAAAAATAGATGAGTTCAGGACCATGATGGAAGCCATGAATGTCCAGCGTAGGAAAGAAATGAAAATTATGAACACCCAACATAGGAAAGAAATGGAATCCATGAAACAGAGTCAAAGAGATATCCAGGTGATTAAGAACTCTATTGAAGGTATACACAGCAGACTGAGCCAATCTGAAGACAGAATGTCAGATATAGAAGACAGGATGGAGATCAGTGACCATGAAAAGAGAGATCTCTTAAAACTAGTAAGGGACCATGAGAAATCAATCCAACAGCTCCTAGATGACTCAAAGAAAAATAATATAAGACTGATAGGAGACCACAAAAAAGCAGGAGAAAGTACAAATGACATAAAAAAAAACTGTTCACAGAATTAATGACCGAAAACTTCCCAAACAGAGCAAAACAATTTGACATACAGATAAGGGAGGCATATAGGAC